TCAGAACTATTTTTCTGTCTGCCGATACTGAGAGGCTTATTTTTAAGTATTTCCACTTGGGAGACAGGGTTCTCTATGAAGTTTAATAGACATCCTTTGGCTAAAAGATTTTCTGGGGTATCACACCTTTCACCAGCTCCAGATGGATGGGTAAAATTCTAAAAGAGGAAGAAAAAAAAAACAATAATTGGAAAAAGGAGACAAATCTGCATTTCTTTATAAGGTCTGAGCAATTGAATTTTTTTGCATGCATTACTAGTTAACTGGCATATCCCCACATGACTGACATTGATTATGGGTCTAAAGTTAAGTTATAACTGAATAACCAGAGCATTCTGCCAGTAAAATTCTGAGTAAAACTGGATCTCCTTTTAACTATATTCAACTGAATTTATGTAATGGCTTTTTCTTTTAAAGTTCACTTCTTTAAAGCTTCTCCCAGGCTGTGACCAGATCCTTGAAACATTTGGGTTCATAGAGTTGACGTCATCCTGTGAATTTATCTGTTCAGAGTGACCTGTAGGTTTGTGGGATCCTGGGGCTGTCCGAGCTCTCCAGTGCGTCTATTACCAAATCCAGTGACGAAGACAGATTTTTCTGTGGATTCCTAAAGAGCGTGGATTGCAACATCTCCCTGTCTTGAATAAAACTCTGTACCACTTTTATTCATTGGAGTGTTACCCTTATATTACAGTGTTAGGTCACTAGAATTGACCTCTTGGGAACTTTAAACTCAGTGTCTTTGAAGTGTTCTAGTTCAAGGTCTTTTAGAACTTTCTCCAAGATTTGGAGGTGAGGAAGGGAAGTGAAAGAGAAGATGGTTTAAAAATCTGCTTTTCTGTATAGGACTCAGGAGTTTCCCAGCCAACTGCAGATCCACCTGGGTGGCAAGGGCAATGAGATGTAGTGTTTCCCAGCAGATATGTGGCCATTCCAATCCTGGATCACCCCGAACAGAGAAATGGAGCCACGACATAAATACCGGTCTTACCTGATGGCCACAGCTGCTCTAGAGCTTGTGAGGTGCTAGGCAAAGTAGAATGTGATGCCCATTGACTCTCATGCTTAGAAAGAATCAAACTATTGCTCATATTTTTTTCCTTTCCCCTTAGAATTCTAAGCCACTCTTGCTATTTTCACCAACGAGGAAAGTTAGATTTCTTCTAAAATTGATTTTGAGACTATAATTTGTTATGTGTCAGTCAGGCTCATGCATATTTGAGGCTCATGGAAATTCTGTAATTTCCACATTGTAACCAAGGCATATACTGGCTGGACAAGGCCTCAGAATCCTTCTCAACACAGTGTCACTGCTGTCACCTGTAGTCACAGCCTGCTAAAGATCAGAGGTGGTGCTAACACAGAACCTATTTTCCATCTGCCCTAAGCATAAGCCTAATTTACTTTTTGCTCCAACTGCCTC